CCCCAAAACCCCAAAACCCCAAAACCCCAAAACCCCAATATATTATTCTAGGGTTGAAATCTGAGACTTAAATTTTTGAGATCGACTGCATATTAGGGTTACTTTAGACCTTGTGAAAGCTAATGTCTTTCTTCCTTTTCCTCATTTGTGACTGAAACAACTTTCTGAGCCTCTTAAGGACCTTAGAGTGTTTAACCTTCTTGTATGCTGGAACGGAAGGAGCCAAGTTATAGCTTCCAGGGCCAGGAGTCTCTTGTAACTTTAGCTTGGTCACATGTCTGTCCTCCTTTGTGAATATTATGTTTTGGACTTTTGCTTCTTGAGGAGTGCTGTATGAACCAGGTCCTGGAATAGTCTCTTTTGAGTAGGAATGTTTTGAAGCTTTCATTATGGTAAATGAGGGTTTCCCTGGCAAAATTCATTTTTCAGAAGCATTGTATTTGTTAGGGCCAGGCCCTTCTACGATGTTTAGAGTTGACTTGTTAGTTTTAGATATCATATTACTTGTTCCTTTACTGAGAAGAGTTCTAGTACCTTTAACACTCATGCTTTCTTTTACAGAAGGCTCTGCTGGGCCTGGATATTCTTCAAGGCGAATTGCTTTTCTTCCTGATGAAGGGAATGCAAAATGAGGCTTTCTCTTTTTAACAGAGTTGTAATCAGGACTGTAGCTATCGGGAGAAGGCTCCATATTTTTCAATTCTCTCCATTTCTTTTTTGTTCTGCCTATAGTTCCTCCACAAATTGATTTCTGGGATAAATTATTGTAGTCTGCTGGCCCAGGAAGAGTCTGATTGAATTTGCTATCATATTTCTTTTTCATGGTAAAGTTCTTATCGAGTCTTAACGTACTTGAGGCTAAGGAATATCGTCCTGGTCCAGGAGTTCGATAATCTGACTTACCAGAATATCTCCCTCTAACTGTTTTAGATGCTTTAGTTTTGGATTTAGGTTGGAATCAGGATTTTGAGTCATAAGAGCCTGGGCCAGGACAGTTTTCCATGGATTGGTTTCCTACAAATTTTCTAGTTCTTGTGAATGAACCTCCTTTTAAATTTTTGTGGACTAGAGTGTTTATTGGTTTGCTTACTTGAAACTGAGGAGTAGTTTGTTGGTCCTGGAGTCTTGAATCAGTCTGCTCTGAGATCAGGCCTCTGCTTACTTCTTGTAAAGCTGACTCCTTTGCTATCGTAAAAATGACTCTGAGTGTTATAGGTTGCTGGACTGATGTCAAACATATTGCTTTTCCCAGAAGGAATTCTGTACTTTGAGCCCATTGTTAATAAAGGAGCTTTCGATTGTGTGAGAGTGTTGTAGTTGGTAGGCCCAGGATAATATGCTTCCATTTTGTCATCATTATTTTTCCGAGTTCTAATCGTCCATTTTGGATTGCAGTGCTTGATTAAGTCATTTTCTGGGAGAGTATATCGACCGGGACCCACTCTTCAGTTTGCTTTACTTGACTATATATGATTAAGAGGATTAGATGATATATTCACAAAAGTTTGTTTAATATGAGAAAAAGTTGTTAAAATTATTGTATGGAATGTCAAGTAAAAAGATTTATTAATTTAATCAGAAGAATTGTTCATTCAGATTATTAGGCAAGAATTTTATTTGACCTATCGAACTGCTGAAATGCTGTCAAGATGATATAAATATCAAAAAATTGTTATTTTTAGATCATAGCATGTTTGAAAGAAGAAATAATCTTTTAAGGAGGAAACTTGGAGGTTGAGAACATACTTTTTGGTTATTTTTAGGCTTACTGATTCATCCTTTCTTACTGTCTCTCATAATTAAAATTATTTCAATTTATTTTTATTATTAAGGGGTTTTGGGGTTTTGGGGTTTTGGGGTTTGGGGTTTTGGGG